ATATAATAATATATTAAATTATAAATATATAATATTATATAACATTATAATTGTGAAAATTTTTTATATTTTAGAAGAGAGAAAAATAAGAATCAATGTTGATGGATTCCAAAAAAGAAAGAAAGCATATCCTCTTTAAAGCATATTTACCGAAAAAAACGATTGTAGCTTCTTGGACAATGTTGAATAGAACTTGGGGCCAGAAAACATAATTTAATGCAAAATATGGGCGGATCTGCTAATACCAATCACCTAAGCACCTACGCAAGTAAAAATGCTTACTTAATTCAAATAAAAAATAAAAACTCATTTTAATTACAAAATTTTTTATTTTTTGTGTTAAATTGCAAATTCTAGATGTTATTTGGACCTACTTGAAAATTACGTGTTCTAGTGGCTTCATGGTGATTTTCCCTTTTACTTGGGTCAATGATTTTTTTTATAGAAAAAATAAAAATAAAAAACCCTACCTCTATACCACTACTCAAACGGTATTTCTTAATAAAGCTTGAAAAATAGAAAGTAAAAAGAAAAATAACTCACAATTAATGGAGTTACAAAGATATATAATAGTAGAGTAGACTCAACTCTAAATTAATTAATTTTAAAATTATGATATGTTTTATTTTTGTATTATTTTACTATTGTTTAAAAACCAATAGAGTATATTATGATTATGATATAATTCGCACTTAATAGGGTATGATCAACTATTGCCATGAAGTTAAAACAAGTTTACTTTTTCTAGGGAAGTTTCTCACTTTCTTATTTTTTATTTTTCATTTTTATATTTATCTAAGGATGTTTCTCAGCATGTGAAAATCCAAGATAATTAAAATACAAAAATGCCAAAAATAAATTATAGGTAACTGTTTTGTAATTACATGTTCTCGCAGTACTATTTTTTCTCTTGTTTTTGTTTTTTCTACGTAATTAAAGAAATTGTGTAATTAATTTAAGAATTTTTTATTTTATAATTAAAATAATAAAACAAAAATTTTTAGATGGAGAAATCCCTTAATATGAATAAATTTATTTTTTATTTAATAATTAATATTTTATAATTTGTATTGTAAAATATTTTTTTTATTAATTTAATTCCTAAAATAATTAAAATATAAGTATTCACTCGTATATCAGTTACTAATCAAATCAAAGATCTAAATAAATTTAAAAAATTCTTTACTTTTGGTTACTGTTACTACCTAGCAGTAGCTTTTTAATTTCACTTTTTTAGTACGTTAAATAATGACAATTAATAAGAAATCTTGGTAATCCTAGAAAAAAAAAATCATTCTACATATGCACCTCACCCTT